ACCTTGCAAGTAAACAGTGGAGGCTCAGGGTACGATGTGACCAATTTCCTACAAAAGTACTTGCTTCAAAAAGCTCGGTGTTAATGAACGTGCCATATTTGGCCATCCCTACTTCACATGGGCGTCTCAAGTTCACTGCATGGCGCTGTTCGCTCAACTTTGGAACATTTATCCGCTTTGAAATAACAAAAAATTATTAATGAAAAACCTCACATGGTTGTAAACTTATCCATTATACGTTTTTCTTGGGTCCATGGAGTGGCGAGCACATGCTGTGACGATTTTTGACCAATTGGAGCAGGGATTTTCATCTCTTCAAAGACACAAACAAGTTTTTGTGGTAAGGAGGTAACATACCAAAGGGTGATGGAATTTTTTTAATCAGTCTATTATAATAATTTTTTAACTTGGTAAATAATTAACAACATGTATTAGTAACTTCGATTCCCTAAGGTATGGGTCCCACTTGGGCAAAGTTTTCAACTTTGCCGGCAAAAAAACCACAGAAAATTTGAAACCGCAACCGAAAAGCAAAGTTTTGGTTTCAACTATCAGGGTCGCACTAGGTGAAAAAAATGCCAGTGATGACACTTTGATAAACCAGACACACGTTTATCGACGTGCTATGGGGAGAGAGCAGTGAGCTGAAAAAGGAAAACAAACGTTAAAAAAATGCGTCGCGTTGAAGCATTGTTAATAACGATCTCGGTGATGCTTATTCTTCTTATTCAGTTAAATCACGAGCACTTTTTTGTCTTTCGTATTATCTTTGAAAGATGGGTTAACGCATGTTTAACTGTTTTGACTGCCGCTATGATGAGAGCGAGAAATCGACGTAAGCAAAGATTACTTCGAGCGCCATATGCCTGGTCAGTTCCGCGACCAGTCGAGTCGTTTGCTGCTTACTGACAAGCGATGATATTACCGCTGTGATTGCTATTGTTTAGCCCGAGTTTTCCGAAATCTACCTGCCCCACCCAAGTACTACGGCGTCTTTGATGTTTTGGCCGGTTTTCAAAGTTTTTGCGAACTGGAAAAGTTAGGGTCGCATCAGGCAATGTGCCCCGATGACAGATTTTTACACCAAAGTGACCACATTCACACCAAACTTTGCCAAGTGCGACCCATGCCTAAGGTGGCTTATATTAAGCCGTTTTCTGTTTTAAGCTGATCTCAAATTAGTTGGAGTGATTTCTGCGATGTAATGTCAAAATTGTATCAAAGATTAAAGTTAAATGGTATGCGAATCTACAATCTGCGTTCTCACGGGGATGGAGAACTATGCGAAACACAATTCAAATCATCTTTACCCTGTTTCAAAGCAGTTTTCTTCATGTTTTGAAGAAGCTAAGCTCTTTGTCCTCGTTAGAAGCTAAAAATATCACCAAATCTCAGTCGAAATGTAACTTACGTCCTTCAGAATAGTTTCTCCAACCAGATAACCAAATAAATCTGTGAAACTGAGAGGTTGTCTACGTGATCTCTTATTCAGGATGATGTTGACGTGATTGTACATCCACGATGGAGTTAAAAGCAACCACATCCAGTTGTCTTTGCAATTTTTCCTCAAATCTTACCTTATTGTGCTGGGATGGGTATGCAGCCACTCAGATGCGAATATAATGTGGAAAGGTACATAGAACGTTAAAATTTTTTGCCTTAGAAGTTGTTATAAACTTCCTAACTGGCTTCTTTGTTATGGGCGAATACAAGGAAACGTTCCGTTTCAACTTACATTTTTTCAATTTTTTCACTGCTGTGAACTTAATTTTGTTCAATCCAGCGAAAGAAATTAGCCATCGAAGACTTCGGGGTTATACAGATTAAATGAAGATGTCGATCAGAAACAGCTGGATATGTATTCATCCTTGAACAAAACTGTGGGGATTTGTAAACATAACATGATTTATCATTTTCCGTACCCGTCTTTAGACGTGGCCTCTAATAACGATATCGGTTTCAAGACTACAGCATCTCATGCCCTACTCCCCTTGGGTCAGTGCCCACCTAGAGAACTTATGTAGGGCAGTACCCCTTCTCTGGCCTGGGTACGGAGTGACTCACCATGCAGACCTACTGCTGTGTACATGGCACAGTCCAACACACCCATCTCCTTTAGAGCACAGAACACTCAACTGAGAGAAACCATGGCACGAAATCCTCCTCCTGAGCCAAGAACAGCAATCGAGGATACCCAATTCTAAGTAAACAAACTATGTAACATCATGTCATCATCCTGGAGTTTATCTATTTTAATAAGCCGTTATCATTCATTAGCCTCTCAAAAACTATCTTGTGGTTCAGTTCATTTTACACTTTTATCTCAACGGAGTGTATTTACCTCACGATGTTCCATTAGGCCTTGATCTCCGAGGAGTTTTCATGGCTTCAAAAATAACCTTTTTCCTCTCCTGACGAAAATTGGTTTCCTCATCGCAAAGGTCCAGGCTGTACCTCATATCTATTGGCGCAGAGCTGATAGGAAAATCAATGGAAATATTTGTTTTCTTAAAATGGTAACAGGTAAAATTACATTTTCTGTTTGGGTGTCGGTACGGATTCGATTCCCATTGGAGCCTGAATATTTCCACGTTGCGCAGTTTATGCAATTTCTCTAGCTGTGGTTCACCTGCGAGGATTCTTAAGACTTGATCAAAATTTATTTGGAAATCATCGCTCTCATTGTTCTCTCTCTCTCTTTACATTTTTATCAATAGGAAACTAATAAATGCCAACATCAAAGCGAATATGCCTTCGCTGTTCCTCAAAAAGGATTCTTTTTCTGCAAGGAAAGAGAGAGAACTCGACGATGACAAAAATATACAACTGGCTTTACCATGTTTTGACTTTCATCTCTACATCAACCTCTGAGGCCTAGAATATAAAGCAAATAGCTGTGTCACTTGACGTGTGTAATTTTGCGCTGAATCGCCTATTCATGCAGCCAAAGTTTGTCACACGAGAGCTGAGGCTTTCCAGGTTAGTACTATACCTCTTTAAAGATAAATGTTTTCAGTTCTTGTAAGTTTCATCAATTTTCAACGCACTTAAGTCAAATGACTTTGTATCCACCAAATCGTCACTAATTGTGCCTGACTCTATCAGAGTTATTTCTAAAACATAAAAAAGGCAGACACTCACAAGTAACAATATCAATTTAATTCACAGGAAGTGACCAATGGTTTTCAATTTTTTAAAACAATCCTTTCTGAAGAATAATGAAAGAACCTCATTTGTCCGCGTTTTTTTAACGGCTAGGCCAGGTATGAGAGAGGATTTTTTATCATCTTCATCGTCTTAATTATCAGGCTATCTGAATTATGTTTCTTGTTGATCGTGACTTATGAGTAAAACACCAGAAAGAGAAAGAGGCAGATGTAGCGTCACTTTCATGATATTGATCAGTATAGGTCGAGGAGTTTTTGTCATCAACCAAGCTGTTGTTATTTTCAATCGTACACATCCACGGAATTGAGATTTATGGGGACGCTTCAACTTCAGAAAATTAGAACAACAAATACACTTAAGNNNAAAAAATCAGGCCTGTACGGGATTCGAACCACTGACCTCTGCGATACTAGTGCAGCGCTCTACCAATTGAGCTAACAAGCCAACTGGGAGCAGGCCGTTAAGTTGATTCGTAATAAACGGGTTTGTTACGAATCACGGGTTTATTACGGGTTTATATATCTGTGGCATTACCGTGATTTTGTTCATTTTAATAGTTTAGAGATAAAAAAGGTTACATAGAAAATTTCAATAAAAACACCATGACCTCTGTTGTTAACCTGTGAGCAGCATATAATTAGCATATAAATAGCTAATCTTAAATTTGACGACTATTTCGAACAAATAAGTACAATTCTATTAGCGCGAATCATTCCTTTAGAATGACCCTTAAACTGGCAAAATGTAACACTTTTAAATATTCGTTCGCCATCTGTACGGTACAAGAATGGAGAAGACTGCTGCGAACTGTGGTCAAAGCCAGACTCCTTAGGCTGTCCCACAGAATTTGCATATATAATCCCCACGGCGAACATTACTCATTCTAAGACTACGAGCAGTCCTTCCTTTTGTTGTAGAGTATTTGAAAGGATTGCTATTTCGAGTATTTTTAGGTTAACCTTTTGTTTTGTTCAGTCTCGCCTTTTTGCGTCTACGTGTTATTTAGGTAGATTTATAGTTTTTATCTTTTATTTTTAGTGTGTGCTTGATCTTGGCTCAGTTCGCGGATTTCCTTCTTACCGTGCTAGACATTTTAATCACTTGTTGTGTTTGGGAATAATTAGTTTCACAGGTGGTCATGTTTGGGTTGGTAAAGCTGGCCTCGAGTTTTACCCACACTGAGATCCTGTTTGTGCACGTGATTCTCGTGCGCAGCTCGATCATTGGCGTTTAATTGGTTCCTTGGTGCTCGCCAAGTACTTCGGTGAGGGCCAACCAATTTCCCCTTTGCAAAACAACGGATACACTGTGCATGGAAAATCTCACGGTCAGCTAACCCAAACATGTCTACGGTTTTCCTACTTAAAGCGTTGGTTCCTCACGCTAGAGCATGATTATTAGATACATAGAGCGTTGCTGTAGTAGCTCTCCAGAAGAGAATAAAAGAAGGAAAGTACAGAGTCTCGTTACTTCTAGTTAATTCGTCCAAGCGAGCTGTAAAACCCCCAAAACTTTTCGAGGTCGTCCGTCGTGTCGTGCGAGTAAGAAAAAAAACAAAGAAAAAAAAAAATTGATGTTAGTTTTTTCACTGATTTTTTTACTTGCACGAAGGACTTCGCTGAAAAGGGGGGGACTGCTCGTACTCTATTTTATGCTTTGCGTACCCATGACTAAAAACTTTTTTTGCAAACATATTCACCCCAGTCAGTGTAAGTTCCCAGGGTAATACTCCGACCACGTAAAACCTTAATATCGAGTAACAGACCTGGACGATACAAAGCCTGTCAAATTTAAAACAAGATATTTAATAGCTTCCTTTTGTATGACTTTGAGCCAACGACAGAACTATTCAAGGAAAAGACTTAGAGAGAGTTAAAGTTCATGCGACCAACTGCTAAAGAAACTCCTAAAGGGAATAAGGAAACATGAGTTGGAATCAGCAGTTTGTCTTCTTTAAAACTCACCTTCCACTTCGAGTACAATTTGTTCTTTTTCATAATCAAAAACACGACGAAAAAAAAAAGACAATTTGACTTTTGAACTACAGATTTAAATCAAATAAAGATACTACCTTGTCTTCCCTCGCAACTGAGCAGCAATTTTAAACGTGTGGCGTTGCAGCTCAGCTGGTAGTAACACCCAACTAGTGTCTTGGAGGCACACAGCTTTGAAACTCTTTACGGTGGCCAATTTGCTTTATCAACACAGTTGATAAAACCACAATTATCTCGGAGGCACAGGTTCGTAACCCGTCATGCCTGAATTTTTCAGGCTTCATTTCTGCACGCAATTGCGTTCTTGCAGCTTACCTGCCAAGATTAATTCTGTAATTCCGTATTCCACTGCGTAACTATTTCATGCATCATGACTACGATGCATGACTATTTCTAGTTGAAAAGGAAAATGTTAGGGCCCTTCCTATGCGACCGATTGTATTTTCAACCACGCCTCTCAGTCAATATTGGGTTCTGTCCTCGTGTACCGGTTCACAAGAGCCGATACAAAAGACCGAACAATACACAACAGCTAACCAATGACTCCTGAACAAAGAAAGAACAATGGTGATTCCCTTGTGAACCGGTACACCAGGACAGAACCCAATATCGTCAATACCAATATTCAGAAACGTTGCTTACCTGTATCTGAGCCAAGTTGCACCTTTTATTCTGCAGGTCTAATAAAAATGTCTGTCAGTGTGTGTCTGTGCTTTTTTTCGTTACACGGTAAACGGTAACAATATAAGTATAGTTAAACGAACAAGTCAACGGCGCAAAGAACGTTTTTGATGTATTAATCCTCTGGATCGACTCATGATTAACATCTGAAAAAGCATTATCTCCCTGGAATTTTGAACAAGTTCCTTTTCATTTCATGTCAATTATTTCATGTTAATCGTCACCAGTGAAATGTCAAGTATAAAAACAATGTATCATCACAAAAAAACCTCATTCGTTAAAAGATCACCGTTTATTCATGGTTACATGATAAAACGTGCCCTTCGCGTCTTTAGACGCATTGTGTTTCTTTTCAGAGGAAAAAAATTCTTTCGTGGCATCAAGGGATTCGGAAGATTAAAAAAACTCGTAGAGTACACAGGAGGTTTGACTCTTGGCCATATAATTTGGTTAATGATGACTCGATAATGTAAATTGGCCAATGTAAAGAGTTTCTAAAGCTGACGTTCCGAGCGTTAGCCCTTGGTTATAGCGAAAGAAATCGGCTGCCAGCTCGCGATAGTTATGCTGAGACAATACTTTTAGACGACCATCAAGGCACACATTCTTCCTGGGGAGTTCCTTGACATGTATTTAAGTAGGACGACGGCACCTTTGAAGTTTGTTAAGCCTTGACAAAATTTGGTAGATCTAAAAATCAACTGGCGCACTTGTCTCAGGGAACTGGTGACAGATTTTTTTCGCAAAATAAACAAAAATTTGCCTAGTGAGTCCGGGCCCTTAGTATACAAAAATGTGAGAAAGACGCGCAGAAAGCATTGAGTTCAACCACTGAAATGTGTTGCTCCAAATAAGTTTCGATCCGGCATAGTAGACAATCGAATACAGTTTCCTCAGTCACATCGCTCCATTTTTAGCCCTTCCTTTGCAATGGGAACTGTACAAGGATAAAAACTGTAAGTTGAACATTTTCATAGTAACCTAGTGTTAATGAAAGATGATTTGATAAGACTCCGTAAAAGGGAACACGGTATGATGACTTCATCCGAAGACAAGGCTTGTTTGTGAAATCGTCAGGTACTGTTTTTTATACCGCTGGACCCCTTTTACCTTCCCGGTAAACAACGCTGGGACGACTGAAGTCTATTTTTCCACTAAGTTTTAAACTAATCTAAATTGTGCAAGCTGTAAGTCATCTTTAGAAGTTTCACACGAGTTTTTTAAATTATTGACACCTTTGTACAATTCTCTAATTTATAATAAATTATTCCGTGCATAAGTTGTACAAACTTCAATCAATATTAAGCGCATACTTTAGTAATTCTGGGAAAGGGACAAACAACCGAGTCACTCCTTTCCTCTCAAAAACACTGTTTACACCGTACATGGTTGGTGTTTTTGAAACATACACAACCGGCGTGGACAAAATCCGAAATCGGATCGGATCACAAAGGAAATTGTGAAAAATTAAAAAGACTGCTTATCAAATAATGGTCTAATCTTGTCACTATGTATCGATTTCATGCGGGTGAAGTGTTTGTTATGATATTCGATTGTATCACGATTCCGTCTGCAACCTTCCACGAAAAAAGATATGTTGATCAGCTATCGTAGCACTATGGAGATGATGGTTAAGCACGTGACAAGATCTCATTGAGAACTTTAAAAAGGGACGTGGGCAAAAGTACTTTGGTAGATTGATATGAAGCTTCTTACAGTTTGGCTGTTGGAGACAAAACAAAAGAAAATAATTGGAGGTGGAATGAAAATAGGTTGTAAAGGAGAACAACTTTCTCCCTTCTTCCTCCCCCATCCCCACCCCCTTCCCCACCCAACCACCAACGTTTTTCAACAGAACCCAAATAGACAGCACACAGTTATCAAAAATATAAGGAAAAAGTGTTCTCTCTTCAATTTCAGTCATTCGATTGGCTTTCTCTCATCCAAAAAAAGAAAAACATTGATTACTCAACCCTCTTGTAGTTTCCCAGTTGGAGGACCTAAGCAATCAGAGTGGGAATATTTAGATATAGGTAAGAAGTTGCCCTTTTTGTATAATTATATTGTTGTTAACTGTTAAAATGATAGTATTTCATTGCAGAATGTATGTTTAAGCACTGCTGAAAGTAACAGGTCCATTAAACTGAAAACTGATTTCACTGCAATTGTTGCCTGTAACTCTATTAACCCATGCCTTCTCTATGAGGAAAACTAAAGTAGCAGTCACTTCATCATCTGATAGTCTCCTTCAGCGTACCTGTATATTAAAACAGTGGGTAGCATTAAAAGCCTGCTCTGATTAGCTAACCAAACCCCTGATATTCTGTGCTATTCAGCTCCCATCAATGCATACGGGATTTGCACCTGAAAATACCGTAACCATTGCAGGATTGAATGGGTTAAAATCATTTTTTTCTGCTATATTATCTATTGTTTTTAGTATATACTAAATCAACTATTTACTTAAGAGCCAGTGTATAGTAGCAGATATTTAACTGGCTGCTTGACCACTTGGTAAATATCCACCACTTCAGCCATCTCCACTTCAGTGAGTAATACAATTGCTAATTAGCACAACAATTTGAAAAAAATTATATGGAAACTAGGGATAACATGTTCTACACATTAACACTAATAGTGGATAAAACTATATTAAAACTTGGTCAGGTTTGAGTTTTACGAAGGAAAAGCTCTAAGTTCAACTCCTGCTACTTTCCACTGTTGGCCTTAGCTGTAGCAGCAGCAGCTGCCTCTGCATCTTCTTGTCTGAGCTTCTCATATCTTTGCATATTGACTTCATGCAGTGATACCAATGTTTGCTCCTCTCTACCCTTCTGGGAACTTTTTATGATGTAAATACATGCAGTAAGAGTCATAATAATCATGATTCCATTCACTCCAATGCGTCGTCTACTATTTGCTCTTTCCATGGTGGCTGCACTAAAATTTGAAAAAAAGGAAAAATCAATGCTAATCATAATTTCCCTACACAATTGTTAAAAAGAGTAATTTGGTGTACCCTTAGATTAAGAAGAATGGCAAGACTTATTTATTCCAGTCACTTCTTAATTGGGAATCTGGAGTGTCTTAATGAAGAATACAGTAATTCATTAGATGCACGATGGCAGGTAGTGCATTCAAGGTGTTCAGTATCCATCTACTTTGTCGGGACTATGATCAGTTCAAGCCTTTAATTGATATGGATATATGGATGATTCATTAGATACAGGATGGCAGGTAGTGCATTCAAGGTGTTCAGTATCCATCTACTTTGTCGGGACTATGATCAGTTCAAGCCTTTAATTGATATGGATATATGGATGATTCTTTGCTATCCCTATCAGATTAATTCAATAAGCATGTAATTTAAAGAGGTACTTTTTTCATTTAATAAAAGCAGACTACAAAGTCAACCCTTATAAACAGAGATTAACTGGATCAGAGGATATTCCACAATTACAGCTCTCAGAGATATATTTTATTAAGACAAATGAATTAAGGCTGAAAGTTTTTAAAGAAACTGTGATGCTGGGTGGGTGGGGGTAACAAGATAATTTGGTTATATCAACTAAGTTGAATTGTAAATTGGCCACATAACGAGTTAAAAAGCTGACGTTTCGAGTGTTAGCCCTTCATTAGATCAAATGGAATGGGGCTAACGCTTGAAACGTCAGCTTTTTAACTCATTATGGTCGCCAATTTACAATTTCAACTTAGTTGATATAACCAAATTATATTTTATTAACTGTACTTGCATTTGCCCTAATACCTGCAGATTTCCTGCATACTTAGTAACAGTTGTTGTACAATAAATCAGAAATCATGCTATTACCCTCCCATGTGGATTAGCCTCAGTTCAGGATCTAAAATACAACAAAAATCTATCTCCAATCTGCTGTATGAATTCAGCTAACAGATCTAACTTTTCACTATAAACACTGAATTCTGTTCATAACCCCCTGTACATTTTCAGGGTACAAAAGTATCTAATTTGACAAAATAATAAACATTTCTAAATGATATGTTTTCACAGTAACTACTATCATCTTCAGTTAAATATTACAAAGTACAAAGTTGAATTTCAAGTGTATACATAATACTCAGGAGACAAAGACCAATAGAGACAAAAACAATATACACAATTACAAAGAAAGTTTCAGATTAACATGATACAGTTGATGATTGAGTGTAGGTCACTGCCTTTGAATTTGGATGGCTTCTTTGATTTTGAGTTGCTAAGCATTATTGCAACAACATAGATATTAAGTTGGTTTTCTTCATCTTGTAAAATAGGTAACACGTTTGGTGTTTATGACCCTATCCCTTGTGGGCTCCATTCAAGTGTGGTTTATAAGTTTTTTTGTGCAGGCTGTAATGCTTCCTATGTTGGAGAAACCTCTCAGCATTTATCCACACATGTGCATGAGCACTTGGTCCGTGATAGGTGCACCCTCATTTTCAAACATCTAAAAAATTCCCAGCAATGCTGCAATCTTTGTTCTAATGAGTGTTTTAACATCCTAGATCACACTCCCACAACACTACAACTCAAAATCAAAGAAGCCATACATATTCAATGGGAGCAACCTACCCTCAGTCATCAACTTGGTCATGTCAATCTAAAATTTTCTTTGTAATTGCATACATTATTTTAGTCTCTATTGTTGTTTGTCTCATGAGCATTACGTACACACTTTAAATTCAATTTTGTACATTGTAATATTTTAACTGAAGATGAAAGTAGTTACTGTTGAAACATGTCTCTTAAAAAAGTCATTTATTTCGTCAAATTTGTTACATATCTATTCCAATCTTGACAAAAGTATCCTAAGAGGATATTATAAAATTAATCTTTTTTTTTTGTCGAAAATCTTACATCCAAGCAACTAAAATTGCAAGCACCTCTTTCTTTCTACGTACAAAACCTAAATACTTAGGTAAAAAAAAAAAAGATCAGGTCAGAAAGTATGAATTCAGTGCCAAAACAAACCACTAGATGGGGTTCACTTCACTGTTTATTGTTCTTTCAAGAGCAAAATTTCTGAGTGTGCGGTATCCTACTTTCAGAACTGAGAAGGGCCCAGTGATTAGTGCACAGAAAAAGCCATTGATTTCAGAAGATTTTTGCTGGGAAGTATTTCATTAGTCAAACACATGGACAACAGCAGTGCCAAACATTGGGAAGGTGGGTTTACAAGATCATGTACTTACGTGACTTCAGCTGGTATTGGTGGTTTCATGGTTCTTGTAGCAATCAAAGTGAATCTGTCAACAGCTGACACATGATGCATCATGGGTATTCCACTCTCTGTAACATAAAACACAACACAAATTGTTTTTGTTGTTGTTGTTGTTGTTATTTCAAAAGGGTAAGGTGGTTCTATGGGTTGCTACCTAATTAAAACCAAGCAACAGGTCTGAGAAACAAAGGTTTTGTGTTCTCTTCCCAGGGCAAACGTGAAATCCAATTTGCCCCGTGAGATGTGTCTGGAATGAGAACAACAACAGCTGGGAAACTAGCTGAGGAAAAACGTTTTTGCTCACCAGACAGAGAAATCTACCCGCTTTGGATACGCATCGCTGAAAATTCTTTCAGTAGCATATTGACTGACTGAAGTACTGTACTATCAGTGCAGTCGTTGGCAGTTGTCTCCAAACTGTGTAATACCCTCCCTTACGAACTAAAGTAGCCAAAGCTGAACGAGGTTGCACCTTTGATAGTATTTTTGTTCATATTCCGTTGGCATGATCTGCCTCAGTTTACCTGTTGACGAACTGCTCATCCGCTCTCCCAAAACATATGAAACAGGACGAAAGGTTAGCGGCCTCGCATTTGACGCGTAAAGATATCGCGCTGGGCCTACAGCAACCCCTGATGTCACTCTTTGGAGTAAAGAGGAAAATGAAACTAAACCTCTCGAGACCATAATTCGTGACGAATTAAGGTGATTTTTCGCTGATAAATCCTTCTACAATCGAGAAATATTGTCTGTAAATGATGTGGCTGAGGTGCATCGCCTCGCTCTCATGACATTGCATGACGTCATGAGTGTGCTCATTCATGAAAAATTAAAAGTCACGTATATTTTACTTCTAAAGCTTCGAGGATGTGATGTTATTTTTTTTATTTTTTAACTGGCATTATCCTTCTTGATATCATGGAAGCTCTGAAGCTCCATCTCCGAAAATAAACGATGATTGAGCTAATGAGGAATTGTTTTCTGAGGGTCCACAACTATATTCTTTTGATATTCTGAATTAATATTTTTTACTGGCCATATCCACATTTCGTGCGGAATTTTCCACCCTTGACCGACTGTAACGATAATCAAAATTTATTGATATCCCAGGATACAAAAGATTTGTACAAGTCGGAATTACCCATGGGGTGATTGAGGCAGCTGATCATATGGTGTCCTCGCCGATGGCAACCGCGGCCATAGGAGGGTTCCACGATCACGATCACGATCACGATCACGAGGGTTCCACGATCAGTATGTTACTCAAGTTATTGGAAAACTGTAGGAAAATTCATTTAGTACACTCTTCACGCATTGCATTTGACTTAGTCGGGAGCCAAATGCATTGTGTGAAGACTGTAGACAAATTCTATGACCATTATCACCGTCCATTATCATGAGATTCATTATTATTTTCATTATTATTGTTATCATTATTTCTGTTAGTATTAAACGTTGGATTACTTTACAGAACGGGTTCTTGATAGCAGGTGGTTGCGCGACTCTTAAATTGAATTTCTCCTCCACGAGCTCCAGTTTGTAAACCATCGTTTAAGGAGATAGTATGCAAGTACTTTTTTCTCTTCTCTACTCCTTTGAACCAGCTGAGAGGAAATGACTAAGAACACGTGGACCGTCCTAAGTTGATAGAATTACTCATGCTAAAGTTGAACTCAAATGTCACTGGTGGACTCGGAAACCGGAAAGACATTCAGCACGTCGGACGCATGTAAAGCTTAGAAAAAAATTATTTTATATTAAAATCAACTATAAATGGACGGCATGGCTTCTCCCGTGAGGACTTAAAGGCTGGAAGTGCGTATTGCAGGTCGAGTCGCAACACTGAGTCTGCAGGAACGGCGATGTGAACTGAAAACTGTAGTCTCGACCCCCTTTCCCTTCCGTTGTACTCCCCAACTCCAGTCACAAGAAAGACATCTTAATTTACCGCTAGCCCCCAAGCCCAGTCGTTTGTAATTGTCACTTGCCTTCGCAGTAACAATTTTGTTCAGCTTTCCTCTAGAAATCGGCTGTCTTTACCGATGAACACTCGCAATAACCCCTTTGAGTTAATTTTCATTTCACACAACAAAGAAGAATTCAGGGAAAAAAGTTTGATGCAAGATACAATTTTTTCCGGGTCACGTTCCTATTGTCATTGCAACGGTAAAATTAAATCAAATTAGTTAAAAATTGTTAATTTTTTGCAGACTACGTCAATTCATTGAAAAAAAGTACGAAATTTTCAAATCCATGTTATTTGTGATCATTGCGAACCTTTCAACTCTAATAATAAAAAGAACTGCGCAACAGTCCGCAAACGTTAATCAAACAAGTATGAAACCTGTCAACTTCTTTCCCTTTCAACGTCGTTATGATGAAACTACAGAAGGACAAACAACTTTCCGGTGCAATATTCTCACGTCAAGTAAATTCTTCAGGCAGCTGGAAGATATTTTACCATGAAATAATATATTTTTAACATAATTAAGTATTCTCAACCCAAGTTTTAATCTTGATAATCTGAATTGAGCTTAAGTTAAAAAGTATCTAATGAAGTCAAAGATTGGAAGGTGGTGATGAGTAAGTTACCGACAGAATTTTATTAAAACATTATGCAAATTTAACTTATCAGAGGTGCGTTTACTTTGAATTTCGTGAATTGGTTAAGAAAATTTGCCTGATTATCGATTAGTTTGAAGGACAGCTGCCACGTCGTTTACTTAGCTTTCCTTGCGCTCCCCATTATATCTTTAATTTGCTACAGAAAGCTGTTATTGGATGAGCGAAAACGTGTTAATTGATGCCTTTTGCGAAATGTCCATAAAAAAAAAATCATCACCAAAAATCGTGATAACAGTGGTGGAGCTTGCCTTTACGATTACAGTTTGGGAGCCTTAGTTTCTTACTTTCATTCTAATAATCACACTATTTCTCTCTAATTCTCTGGAGGACCTGGAGGACAGTGAAAGTCGACCCAAGCATTTCCATGATCACGACAGGTGCGATATTCGCACGTGCGGTAATGAATGCATCGGGGTCTGACGAAAAATGCTTTTAACTATTAGAAAGCTGCATTCTCAATCACATTTTCTCTGCTTGAACTAATAACAGGAAAGCACTGGTTCGTTTCCCACACCGAATTCTGAATCAGAGAGATCCGTCCGTTTTTGAAAGAAAAATTTGAATTTGACGAACTGCGTCGATCGAAGAAAAAGATTATTTATTTTTTCACTTCAATAAAAAATGAACGAAACTTTGGGCAACGTAAATGGCACCTCTTGGCAAACAGTTTTTATCTTCTGCTGGTTTGGTTCGACGAGCTTAATCATTGCCATTTTGAACACTACAATTTGCACTTTGCTTTGGACGCAAAAGCGACTTCACAACATCAGCAACTTGTTCTTTGTAAACTTGGCCTTTGCAGATATTCTGGTCGGTTTTGTGGCAATACCATGGAAGATGTTATGCTTTGGAGTCTCACCCGTACCTCAATGGCTAACAGCAGTTGTCACGGCAGTAGATTATGTATTAAGCTTATCTTTCCTTAGCATTTGCGCCCTAACTTACGACAGATATCAAGCAATTCTCTATCCACTTACGTACTGCATCAAAATGGCCGGTCCAAAGGTGTGCAAAGTTCTGTTCTTAGTTTGGATTCTACCAGGAATAAACTTTTTCAAGTTGCTTTGGATCCTGTCACCAGAAATCTCTTTTCAACCCTTCAACGGCACTTTCGATGCATTTCTTTTCTCTTTCTTACTAATGGCAACTGGGGGAGTTGTTTTCGCATATGTTCGAATTTCTCGCGCGGCCACGATGCAGGAACACCGAGTGCGGAAATTAAACGGCCGTGCCTCGAGAAATCAACGATTAAAGTTAACCAAAGCAATCAGGTCCTGCCTCGGCGTCACAATCTGTTTTGCGTGTTGTTGGTTGCCACGAGGAAGTTACCTGATTGCAAGAATTTCTCACTTTTCTAAGTCTTACGGGGAATACGACCTGATTACATTTGGCTTAATGTCTTTATCTCCAGTATTAAATCCAATCATTTATTCCATCTTCAACCGCGATATAAAAAGAACGCTGGAGTTACTTTGGACCAGATGCCGAGAAAAATCGAGATTGCAGAACCAAACGTTTGGAAGTTCTCGCGCTAGTTCATCACGGACAGTCAACACGATCAACAGCGGAGTACACATTGAACTGTCAAGTAATGCAAATTTGTAGTATTAGGCAATTTAAAGGAAGGGGTACTCGTCCCTTAATTTCAAAATATAAAGAGTTAAAGATGACAATCACACACAAGTCCGCGTTCTACCGAGGAAGAGAAGGGTGGGTGGTCATCAACTTTAGAGCAAAACTTTAGATTCAATAAACACCAGAAGTCGGTACTAGGAATGTCAAAGAATTGATATGGCCATTGAAACATTTTGCTGCTTATTTCTTTTATAACTGCCATAAGGAAGGAACCCACAACCCCTCTAACAGTTAGTTCTGTAACGTGCTGGTTTAGAAAGTTGCACTAACACAGTAAAAGTTTACTAAAATCAATGCACGTAAAAATAAGCTTTAAAAAAACATCGCATGCAAACTAAAACGTTTGAACTCCGGAGACGACCGTTCAAACATGTGGTATAAAGAAGTTACTTATAGTGAAGCTGGGTCAAGGCATTCTTTTATTCAGGAACAATAAATAGTTTCCACTTTCATTGAATAAGAAATTAATTCGTCTCTAAGTGAATCGAAAAACCTATAAATATTCCAAGACATATAATAAAAAAACTGTTTACAATTTGTTCCGATGTTTCTACTTAATATTTCACTGTGAGTAATGAATTCATCACGCAATTTGCGCGAAAGCAAATAAATCCAGATGAGTATAGTACACCAAGTCTACAAGAAGATGACCTTCAGTGTCCAACTGACCGTTGTGCGTCAACGAGGTATGAGACTCTTGGAAACTTCATCTATTTTCATCCATCCGCTTCATTAGGGGCAAAATGTTTGCAACTTACGAAAATATGACGTCACAATTCTCTTTCTTTAACTCTCGATCAACAAGAATATTTTAGCTTTTTTACTTTTATTTTACACTTTACGATTCAAACTCCGCCATGTTTCCCCAGGAAGAACCCGCCTTCATCTTGACAGGCACAACAACAGAGAGCTTCATGGCGCTCTCCATTTCTGTTCGAACAATCTGTGCTACTTTTCTTAACTCACTCTGTGACACCTCAAATATCAGTTCATCGTGAAGTTGCAAAACAAAATATCCTCCAACAGGGGTTGGCAGATCACAACTTGAACTCCTTCCCCGGTTTTTTCCAATACTAGAGTGATAATCCGGGAGCAAGTGTCTGTGTGACGTGACGCATGATGGAAATTCCTCGGTTAACCTCCTGTCAATATTAATCATGGCTATCTTTACCAAATCTGCCGCAGACCCTTGTACCGTGGTGTTTACAGCTTGTCTGGCTGCTTGACTGTGCGCGTGCACGTTTGATGAACTTATCGCCGGAAGGAACCTTTTCCTTCCTGTTATTGTTTTCACAAAGCCTTGCTTTTTGCACTGCTCCACCGTATCTTTCAAATACTTTTTCACTCCAAAGTAACGAGAAGTGAACTTGTCAATGAACAAAGCAGCATTTTCTTCAGTAAAACCGAGCTGTTCTCCAAGAGCTTTGGCGCCAATGCCATAAATGATGCCATAGCATACCTGTTTAGCGTGTTGTCGCTGTTCATATTTAATACATTCCACTGGAACTTGATAAAGTTCGCCCGCGATCATTTTGAACACGTCTCCTCCTCCATTAAGAATCTTGAGGAGTCGCTTGTCCTTTGAGAGGTGAGCTATGAGCCTCAGCTCCAGCTGAGAATAGTCAGCGGCCAAAAGTAGGCCACTTTTAAAGGGGATAAACGCATTACGCATGCTCACTGAAAACTTAGGAGTAGTTGATTCGGTCCCAGGCTTAACATTCATTGTATTGTATCGACTAGCTCCTCTTTTGCCTCGATTGGAAGAAGTCCTTTGGTCCCAGGCTCCAGGAGGAGGACTCTCAGCAATAAATGTCGGCAATACAATATCAAAATCTTTAGGAACATTTTGCAAATTTGGTTCCGCAAAAGAAACTCGCCCAGTTGCAGTATGTGTTTGACTAACTGAGTAAATGCGAGACATTTTAAGCCTCGGGTTCAAGCATTTCTCCTTTTGTAATGGAAACACAACCTTGGTTAGGGCTGAGTTTATCCTGCGCCACTCTATGATGAGCCCTGGTAGCGGATGCAGTGGTTTGAGTCTTTCTAACACGTCTTTATTGGTGCTAAGATGCTTACAACCACGTGACCTACCACGTCGGGTTACTCCCAAAGTCTTACGTTTGGTGACGTGGTCATCCTCAGAGTTTCCGTCATGTGGAAGCTTGAGCTCCAGGAAAAGGACCTACATGGGAGGAGAGGGAAGAAAAATGCTTATTTCTTTTCGCAAAAACGGATTTTCTAAGTGGAAGGAGTGAACACTGGACTGCCAAATGAGACCACAACAAACTCAACAATAGAGCCAAAATTACTCCAACAAATTCAGTTTACACACCGAATTTACCAATAGACCATGTCAAATGTATTCTAGAATTATCGCTTAACGAATCGAGCATTACTACAAATGCAGAAAAAACTTTATTACACTCACTGTGTGCATATATAATTTAAAACTTGAGCAAAGAGGAAAAGAGTTTACGAGGCACCTCAAATCCTTCTTGCAGCCGGGAAACGAGAGAATACAAGTAACCTTTAACGAGAAAATATCAAACTGACCACCAAACTTCAAGATAACTAAATGGATTTAACTGTAAGGGAAAAATTGAAAAAAGGTGTTTAAGAAGATCATTTTGTGTCTCACACCTGCGCTATATCTTCACGACTGGTCAATGAGAAACTGTGATTGGCCAGTCTGTAGGCTTCTTCCTCCAGACTGCGAAGCTTGGCTTGTAGAATGTTCTTTAGATGTTCACTCTCAGTGTCTGAGAATCCCAAACCATTTAGCTCCATCCGTGCCAAGCACAATACAGATGGCATCTCTACCTACGGTGGTTAAGATATTTCACATCAAAAATCTTCAGTATGATTCAATTTTTACTAAATTTATTTATTTATCTATTTATTTATTAATTAATTTATTTATTTATTTAAGGATTTTTACAAAGCTGTACCGGAGCAAAAACAATAGGACATAAGTCCCCTACTAAGTTTAAGCTCCAACCTACTAGGTTTAAGCTCCAATTTAAGGGGGAAAATGTATAAAAGCTTGAAGAAAGAGCACTCGTAAAGTGTTTACATAGCGCTCGCAAGCGTCTTTTGCAATTAACCGACTCAACAAAGAAGCAGCCGACTATCTGTAGTTTTCATGGTAAAGAGTTTAATCGGAAAGGACGAATCTTCGGAAACAAGCGATGTAACTGAAAAGCGCAAGTTATAAAGACACGCACGCAAGAAAGCAGGAGCATGCATGGAAGAACTCGCTTGACTTCTGTCTCGCGCAAGTGACTTCAGGCCACATTGAGCAACTCCTTCTTTGCAGGTTATGTCAACTCACAGCTTTTCAAATGCACACGCGAAGGCTTCAAATTTCGAATTTAAATTTTTAAAAAAATCTCAGCATAGCAAACCTTGGTAAATGCTTGCACGAGATCTTCAGTTTCCATTAAGGTTCTCAGCTTCGTCATCAATGAAAGAACTAGAACAGCCTCAACACAGGCTCTCACCCTACCGCTCTGCTGACATTGATATGCTAGAGCCAGACCTCCTGTGCCCAGTCCACCACCGGTCCCTGAGAGTAAATAGAAAGGAAAAAAAAGCGTAAAAATGCCTTCTTTTCACATCGAGTTAGATTGGTAACAGAAGACTCAAATATCTAATAACAAAAACTGGAATTCTCGATATTACGAAATTTGTTACGTCCTTGTGGAGCTGGATTTGGAAAATAACATCATGTAAGTAACCTTCAAGAAAGGATGCTTCTTCTGGTAAATACTGTCCCACAAGTTGGTGAAGGTTCTTTTCCTTGGCTCCGGGATCCAAAAGCCAACTCGCCACCTTTGGGTCTTCTGCAGGTCCACTGAGAGAGATACCAGTACACTGAGCGAATATCTGCGGCAAACATTCCATCAAGGAGGTAATAGAGCAGCAACAAAGTTAGTAAAATATTTAACAGTCTGTATATCACGGTAAAACGAATATGCTTACATCAAATATTGATTCTCACCTTAAAGTGTTCCTTGACATCGAAACACATCATGATGCTACCTCTTTGGATCAAGAACTTAACGGTACTCTCTACTTCATTTATACGGCGAGTAAGCGCGAGGTTACAATCCACCACTGACTCAGCCTGACTGTCGTCCATTTGACTTGGCAACGACTTAGCATGTTCCAGAAATGAGACGTAGTAAGCATCTTTATCACCCCAGCTCACTGCAACTCCGACCACCCTGTTGTCCTTCCCCGCAATTCTTATTCCCCTTGACGTCACTTCCGATGTTTGAACGTTGCTGAATCGCGCTCCTATCTTGGGAACTTTATCTAAGGAGCGTTCACAAGCCACAGCGAATGAAAAATGAGTTTGACTGCGCCATTCTTTCAGAAACATTTCAAACACTCGCTCATGTCCCGTAACGTCGATAATAACAAGTCCTTCATCAGGGGTAGTGGAATATGGAGCCCTTCGTGGAGATGGACGCTTTCGTGTTGACAAAGGAGTGGCAGAGGTTTTTGTTTTAAAATTATCTTGGGATGGTATTTTCTCCTTCGGAGGTGTGGAAGGAATAACGTCAGAATCCACTGTGCCATTTACTTCATTTTTACCAGCATTCAGCTTTTCAAAGGGGAAAGTCTTCTTGGCGGGCCATTTGTGATCCTTATGGAAAGATGACTCGGTAGATTTTAAATTCTTGATTTTAGTAAAATCAGATCCATTCTGGTGCATCTCAGGTAAGCGCGGAAAAGCGCAGGTTTCCACATGTTTCTGCAGTTCTTTACCCTCAGCTTCTTTCTCCAGGAACTCTGCAATAGCCAAAGTAGACAGATCAGAATCCAGGCAACCATCACTGGCCGAGAGATGGAGTGAAAATGAACTTGCAGCGCCAACTGAACCTCTACCTTCCGTTACTGAGCATTCGGGTGACTGAAAGGCTCGGGAAGCTAATGATGACAACGTCTCCGGGCTTCGTTCGGCGTCAAATTGTCCCGATAACGAAAGACGCAACTGGCTGTCATATTCACCAATAATAACTTGACTCTTAAGCTTGGCCAAACTGTCGGTCTGAACTGTCAGAGCATTGGAAATTTCACCACAAACAATTGGGCATTCTTTGTTTACACGAAGTAAATCTTGTGACAAGTTCATGTCAAGTGGGTATCCTGATGACGTCACAACTCTTTCTTCAACCATGGCGTCACACTCCATTAGGCAGGTGTCACTCAAACTACAGGTTAGAGCCTGAGAATCTGACACAACATCAATGTCAGTGTGAAGGGCATTGCCGGGGTTCTGTTTTACAGCTGGTTCTTCTTCATCAAATGGCTCAGAGTACAGCTCTAGTGAAACCGACTTATCTTCGCTGAAAACCTTAGAATCACCGGAAACTTCTAAAACAGAGTAGCATTTTCTCGATTGTTCTGCGTGAAGCCCATCCGGTAAAATCACTTTTGAGATCTTCATGGCTGCTGTTTCTTTTTTCTGTAACTTTTCTTGTGGCTCAGGAATTTCAGGTATCGGTGAACGGCGTTTGTTCCTTGCACGTGGAGGAACTGTTGCATTGCCACATAAAGGAGTCTTGGAGGTTAAAGCGCAAGCAACTGCCATAGCAGGTTCAGGATGCTTTGTGGAGGATAACGCGTCTGAAGAAGGAGTTGGCTTAAAAAAGTCTACGCACTCTTTATTGGGTACTTCATGTTTTCTTGACCTTGGTCCACTTTCCTGACGATCCAACCTGACCTGACGGCTTTCCACTGTCTCTTTGCAAGCATGTTGTTGAGGTCTATCGTTTGAATTCAAACGAAGAACAGCTTCTGAAGTCGTAGGACTTTTTTCTCTTTCTGGTTTGGAAGTGTCTAATTTTTTTATACGAGTTTTACTCCGTAGGACATTGACCGATTTCACCCCAAGAAACTTTGGACAAACTTCCGTCGGTCCGGAGACATTTAATTCCTCTGGACAGACACGCTCGCCAGGATTTTCTTTAGCCTCAGGAGGCTTCCAATGTATTCCAAGTTGTGCCACATCAGCTTGTAGCAGCTGTTGGGCTTCACCTACGACGAGTTTTGCTGCCGCACCTTCAGAGAGCCCTCGTCCTCCTGCGACCCAGAACACGCGCGCCTCGCTACGCTCACGTACCTCGGTTTCAGTCTCCTCCCCTCGCCTACGGCTACTGACGAAAGGCGTAGCATTATGCAATATGTTCTCAATTTCTGATGGAGGGGCTGCTGCAATTGAAGCGACGGTATGGTAGCCAGCGTTGTACAACATACGTGCACGTGCAGCATTTAAGAGGGATATTCGAACTAAGTCGCAGAGCTCTCTTTCAACACCGAAAGACAGACGGCTCTGGAACTGAGACAGAAGAAGCGCAATGTTAGACCATCCGAGCTTCTCGCAAAACACTGTGACCATTCCCGCGAACGTTGCAGCAGAACCTTGCAGTGACTGCAGCATACCTCGATTTGCTCCATACCGCCTGGCAACAGCATTGAGTGGTACCTCATGTACGAGGTCTTGAAGTGCCAACGCAGCAAAGAACCTACGATGCACGGCAAGAGACTGCCGCTGCTGTTCTGTACGCGTTGGAATACGGCCGCGCACGGCACAAGCAAGGAAACCTTCCTCTATTCCCACCAACTCTGCCACCCGGCGCATGCTCACTGGCAGGCGCTCAAAGATTCTTAAGTATTGGTACCAGTCTATGCTGGGCCACTGATCCTGTATGTAGATTGGAGTCACCTGTCATCAAAATGTAAAGTAAATCAACACATATTGACCCACCATAATGACCCGGCAGCACTGGGCCATTAACACAGACATATATTGGGATATGACTGTCCGGGAATTATACAGTATTTCCTAGCATGACAAAGATATAATTTACTAAGACACTTAACGTCGTATTTTAAGGTCGTAAGATCACAGCAACGAATTTGTACGTTTTACGATGAAATCTGCCAACAGTGAGGAAATTGATAAACCTTAAAAAAAAAAAAAACCTACGGAATGACTCGGATGGAAAGCGAGGGAGAAGGGATTCAATCAGGGGACGTTTGTAATGATTTAGCGCTGTACTCAACCACTAACTAACTTGAATACTCAGAAACATTTGTTCCGATCGATCGATCGAGAGACAGCTTGGTAGAGACGCCCATGTAATCACAACTGCAGTTGTTACTCTCCTGGTATATAACATGAAGTTCACTTTCGAGCACAAAACACTTGCGTGCTTTCTGTACTTCAGCAAATACAACAAGTGCCTCGTCAGGAGAGAGGGCAGAAGATAATGTAGCCATGCCTAGTTGAGTTGGCACGTAATTCAACTCGACTGTTTTTACCTGGAATATAAAAAATCCGGTATCAGTAGATCTCTTGGAGAAAACGCTCTCACGTTTACCTGCATCAACTAATTAAGATCCAACAGGTTTTGTGAAGAGATATATATATACTAGTTACTCAAGGAGAAAATTATTTCAAAATAAGGTTGGGTTGAACATTTTAAATTTGTTAGTCTTTTGTTGCAACAATTCTCATCCAACTTACGTCCTCTGCCCCGATGTCGTTCTCTTTGTTTTCATCTGTCTTCTTATCGTCACACTTTTGCAAACGAACAAATTCATTTTCTACCAGAAACGTCAGGGTATTCTCGACAATTGTGTCTGTGTTGTTTGCTTCTTGTTGCCAGGAAACTGAGGCGAAGAATGTACAGGCCGCGTAACGTTCTACATCCGAAGTTCTGGTAACCACTCCACTAGCGATGACCTCAAGAAGTGCACGTTTCATTCCACCATTGTCTCCTTTACCTGAAGGAAAATGAAAAACCTAACCGTGAAGAAAAATCGAGTCTACAGGGAACAGATGTTTTCAACGTTCCAAGGGCGCCGTCATGCTTCAGCAAAGAGCGCGACAAACCAAATATTAATTTGTAATGAAGTAAATTTCATTTGGACTGCGCATTGAAAATCAGATAAAGCCATGATCCTCGCAAGTGAGCTGTAACCTAATATTAGAATGAATGTAAGCTTAATAAAACACCTCTCCCTTCCCGCAGGAAGACATTTACCAAGTTCTTTCAACGGAACCTGCAAAATTATCGCATTCACTACAAGGGAAAAAATGACTCCTGGGAGACTCACATGCAACGGGTAGCCTTAACAAACTCCAGTGGAGTGGTCAGGAACAAGCAGTTGATCTGACTTAGATACGTTATTATACATTACACTGACCAAAGCAACACCACATCTCTTAACTTAACGAGTAAGGAAGAATTATCAAACAGTGCACATACCAAGCAAGCAGCTCTCCACAGCTTTCAGTCGAGAGTTCAGAAGCGAAGAGGCTTTCAATCGTTCACTAGGTTTACAAATCAGAATACTTTCGCCAAGGGCATCGACGCCTTTACGACCTGCGCGCCCAGCCATCTGTTTGTAGACCAGTGCATCCACCAATTTTCCATGAAAAATTGGGGTACGAATGATTACTCGACGGGCGGGAAGATTAACGCCTGGTAATTATTACATATAAAAACCTGTTTAGCAGGTCATACCATCTAAAAATATGCAACACAGACTGCTCAAGACATCTAGCACCTGACTGAAATTGTTCATCATCTCTTGACGTACTTTTGAAACTAAATTTGAATTTAAAAATTGATTTAGGAAAAAGACGCTAAAATAAAAATTCTGTGTGCGACAACAAACGTAGATATTTTGGTTTTATCAAATGGGTTGATAATGTAAACTGACCACCGTAAGAAGATTCTAAAGCTGACTTTTCGAGCGTTCACCCCTCATCAAAGCCTGATGCTTAGAATCTCTCTACTGTAGCCAATTCGCTTTATCAACCTACTGATAAAACCAAATTATCGTATAATGCCCCCACCCTCTTCCATCGACGCAGCAACACAGTTTCTATAGAAACTTACACCTTTTGAACTTCGACTTACCTGAAGACAATGTGGACGTAGCCACGAGTACGCGAATGGACCCCTGCCTAAAGGCCCCTTCAATAATGTCCCTCTCGTCGAACGTGAGCCCTGCATGATGAAATGCTACTGCATGAGGCACCATACGGGAGAGCACCGAGTCCAGCCCTACTTGTGTGCGTTTGAGCTGTTCTATAACCTCCTTCAGGGCTGTGTAATCAAATCCTAAAAGTGTTGAAGCTTTAACAAACCCGCTGCTTTGGACGGTATTGCTGTTTTGTTCTTTCAGAGTCAAGTTGCCGATCTCCGCAAAATGCTTAGCGATATTCTCGGCCAGTTTTTCACACCAGTTCTTGGTCGGGCAAAAGACTAAGACCGAGTGACCTTCAGTAATAGTCTCTTTACACAGTGGTATCATGTGATCGTCATCTCCGCTGACCGTACAACCGCTGATTTCGCGGATCTTTGACATGTTTGCGTCATAGAGTGCAGGGCCTACTTTGACCATTTCTGTTAGGGGAACTGGTCTGTAGTCTGTGAAGTACAAGTCAGCAGATAGCCACTTGGCGAGCATGTCTAAATTGGGTAAAGTCGCACTCATACCGACTATTTGTATTGCTGGCAATGTCTCCTGGCTTCCTGAAAATTCTGAGAGAAATGGATGAACGCAATTATGATGGTTCAAATGTGTGAGATATGACAGGTTGAGAAAACAATGAATGGCAAGTAATCAGCACTTACTCTTGACATAATTGCTTCCATTTCGTCCTCTGCATCCAGAGATGAAACGTATTTTTGTCAAAAACAGTTCCAGTAAATATCCTCTGTGAGGATCACCGATCATGTGCATCTCATCAATAACAACAATCCCGAGAGAAGAGAGAGCTTTATTTTCCTCCAACAAGCGGTTCAACAGACTGTTGGCTTTCTCTATCGTGCATACTGCAATGTCTACAGAGACAAAGCCTCCAGCTGGGGCGTGGCTTCCCATGTACCCCTCCACACGAACCCCTGCCTCCTGGTATAAGCGCTGACAGAAAAATAAAAATTTTGTCGACTATACAAAAAATGGAGAAAATGTGTTTCAGGTTCAAAAACTGGCAGTGGAAAGTAAAGTTTCAAAACTGTTTACGAGAGAAGTATTTTTTCTGTCTTCTCAGTCTTCTTTACTGCTTAATGAGAGTACTGATAGTTTTTTGGGTAATAAAAGAAATGTGTCCCTTTCCATTGGTCAAGGATAAAATTGTAACTTGCTGCAAGAGAATAATTGTTGGATAATTGTTACATGTAAATAGGTAACAACGATTGAAAACTTACCTGAAGATAAAACATTTTTTCACGTGCCACACTAATAAATGGGAGAATGAAAAGAGCCTTCCTTTTTGTTTCAAGAACTCGTTTTAACATAAGCAGCTCTGCAACCATTGTCTTCCCTGCACTTGTCGGGGCAGAGTATACCAAGTTTCCTTCAAAGAAATGTGAGCACTATTGTGAAACATGATATTTTGTAGCTCAACAAATTAGTCATTGGAGAAGAAGTCAACACGGGTGTACCAACTTACCTCCTGTGAGTACCCTTCCTGTGCAAAGACATGCTGACTGCCATTCAAACATATGAGTGATTCCAAGCTTACTGTACCCCTTCAGTACCTCCTGAGGAAGACCCCAGGAAGAAAGCTCCAAAGGGTTTGCAGAGGTACTCACATCAAGGTCCAAAATGCTCCTACTGTTAGACTCTGAGTGGCCCTTTGAGAAATGGCTGAAGTAAAAAACCCAAAAGGTGAACAAGCAGGTTCACTTTTAAGAATGATGACCAGTGCAAGATTTTAAAAGTAAATCCTAGTTCAAAGAAACACTTCTATTACAAACTTATCAATCCCCATGTTCAGTTTCTTAAGTGCAAGTTTTTTTTTTTGTCATTTTCAGTAAAGATTTTTAAAGGTGGTTCAAACATGGACAGAACACTGAAAATGACTTCATGTTCCCTAATGTTCTCTCTTTTCTAGTAACATAAACTTAAACATTCTTATCATTACGGCATCCTTAACAAGTACAAATTATGCAAAATTTGTTACGTTTACAAATAATTCAGAAAATGTCTGATGTAAATACACAATATGTTTATGTGATATGTACTAAGTAATTGCTTGAGTACAAAGCCTGTACTGTACACATAATCAAACCTTATTTTTTCACCGCTGACAGGTGAGAACACAGGTGAATGAATAAAAGAAAACCGTTGCATATGCTCCAAGTCTTCAATTGGTGTGGATATTCTCTCCCTGGTAGGTCCAAACACGTTGCCATCAGATTCATTTCCTTTGCCACTCTCCAGCTGAGGAGTGAGGGCTTGTACAGTAACTTGAGGTGTAACCTTTTCTTGCACTGTATCTTTGGAAGGGATTGCAAGGGGAGACTAAGGAACAGGGCCATATTGGATATGTTGCTCAACAATTTTATCAAATTGTGATAAATCTGCAGCATCAAACTCAAAGCCAAATGACATGTTCAAGGAAGTACATGGCGACTGGGCTGAGACCAAGTACCTATCAATCTAAAATAACAAAAAATTCATTCTTCTGAAGACAATTTCTTTCCAACAATATAGAGCCGGAACAGACATGAAAAACCTTTGTCTCACTCTCTTTTTGAAAGCTTATTTTAGATGATTACCATTAGAGCTTAACATCAGCAATTATTGCAAGAATTGTGCCAGGAGAGCTGTTACAACAACTTTGTGAAAACAATTTGTAGAAAGTGAAACGCTCCTATAGTTTGATTGATCTCACGTGCTTAGCTCATCTGCTTGAATTCTCTCAAGATGATTTGGTCACAATTCCAAATGCAGGCAATGTAAAAGGCAAAGCAAATTAAAGATCACCCTAACACGTAACAAGAGTGACTCCACGATCAACAACAACAACAACAATTTATTTAAGATTAGAAATATAGCTAAGTACATTGATTTCTCCCCGCAAATAGCTTATGAACTAATCGAGGCAGGGAGATCTAAGGACAGTTTACAAGTACAGGATTTATCTATAGATGGACTAACAATGAAAACACAACTATGCAGTAAATAGAATAGGCATGAAACAGAGCAAGTATATTACGATTACGAAAAGAGGCTAACCTTAAGTATTAATTAACTTAATAAGACGGGAGACTTCGACATAATCATCTTGTGACCGTAAAAAATTTAGTAGTAACTCCTTTATCTTTTTACGAAAAGACGAACGTTTGAGTTGTTTAATCGAATAGGGGATTAAGTTCCAAATTTGGGCACCAATTCTCGAGAAAAAAGCATACATTTTATCTTTTCTAGAGAATTTGACAAAATACGCGTCACTAGAGACTGATCCTGTTCTGTAGTTATGAATCTGACTTGTTTTAACAAACTGATTGAGTACACTAACTGGTGCTGTCTGTCTGTTGATATCATACAATAAATAGCTACAATCTCTGAAAAATAGGCTAGGTTGGGGAAGACAATTCGATTCGAAAAAGAAGGATCTTAATCATCTTTCAATTTAATCTACACTGAGTACAGAAATAAGCTGTCCTTACCTCACAGTCGTCGTTACTGTCTTTAACGTTGTTAATTTCATTTCCGTTGGGTTTTCTTTGTTTAAGATGTTGATTTCGTTCCGATGTTCTTCTTTGCTTCCAAGTTTGCGATAGCCGCCTCATTTTCGGGAAAATGCATCCGATGTTTCATTCCATCCAGAGAAGCGACATCTAACTTAAATGAAGTCGAGAAATGGAGATATTTCTCCAGATGCTCGCTCTGTTGGACGCTGTGTTTACCTATTTGAACATGCCGCGGTCCATGCCACGTCAAGTGGGGAAACGTGAGAACCTGGTGATGAGTCAGACTAAGCCTGCGATTTAGGACGCTGACCAATGACGGTAGAATAGAGGCATATTTATAATTTTTATAATTTGCAATTGATTCGGTTCATATATACACCATTAGATATTTATCCAGACTGAGGTAATCCTACTTTAGTACATGCTGAACATGCACAAGGACAATGGTTCCTCTGTGTAGAACATTTGTAAAAGCATTGAACCAAGCTTATAACTAAATAAAGTAACTGACAAACTGCAAAGGTTTTATTTGCTCTACAATTTGCCCATATGCAGCTGTACACTTCTCATTTTGTCTCATGTATTGGTCCTTAAAAGGTTTATCCCTCAAGATTTTCACACACTATTTGACACGGAGTCTCACACCAATGCATTTTGGATAATGGCAGTGGATATAGTATTCTGCAACAAGTACTTGACTTTTTTATCTCTCCCCTGTGATATTTCCACATAAGTAAATGAAAAAGAACCAAATGCAAAATCCTCAAGGTCCAGGGTTGCAGGTAGTTACAAAAACTAAATTAAAGCATTCATTTCCTTTTATTAAATGCTGTTAAGATTATTGCACATTTATCATTACCTCACATGTACTGGGAAAATATTCCAAGTTATAACATGAATTGGAGAAATATTCCAAGTTAACAAAAATAACCAAAGCCAGTGCCAATATATATACAACACTAAAGCTTAAAATCAGTCTGGAACAAAAGATTTCACTCACATCTGAAAGTTCAGTTAAAAAATTATGATGCAAACATTAAAAAAATATTGGTGATGGAGACCTTCATTGTTAAGCAAATGATATTTGTATGGAAAATTAATGTTTTTTCTATGCGCAAGGTTCACAATCCCTGACCATCACTGTGCAACCTTTTCTTCTCCAACACGAGACAAAAGCTGTTTTCTGTATTCCATGATATCTTCATAGTGACCTGACAATGATAGTATATCATTGTTCCTCTTTGCTTCACGGTGAAATTCAGGAGTCTTGAGTTCATACCACCTAGGTTTAGGTCCACGGATTCTCTCTAGTTCATCCACACATTTCTTTTTGAGAAGCCTTTGCTCCTCTAAACGTAACCTGTCTAATCTTAACCTGGCCAGTTCTTCTTGATATGGTGTTGCCAGAGCACTTATTGTTCGTGAACTCAACATGCAATTTTCTGCCTCTCTAAAGAGTGACAAATCAAAGTCATTGATTGGTGTCTTCCTGATCTTTTCACTGGGTACACTTGTCACATTTCCTGCCATAGCTGATCTTAACACAGAAGCTTTTAGAGGCTGTCTTCGGGCGATTTCCTCAATGTCAACTGGTGCACTCATTGTGCGGTGAAGTGGCTTTATAAACCAACTGTCTGAGTTGTAACTACTGTTCAAAAATGCATCATTTTCACTTGATTTATCTTGCAACCCAACAAGTTCTTCTTCTGGTCCATCAGCAAATTCTGATAAGTCCAAAGCTAAATCCTCTGGGTCAAACTCTACATCAGATGTCTGTGATTCCTGAAAATTCACAGATTGCTTTGAGGGTGTTCTCGTAGCTTCTTTGGCGGTTATGGTCATCTCAGAGTTGGTTCGGTAGTTCTGAGGCTTCAATCTGTGGAGCCAAACAAACAATTTAGACTTAAAACTCATCATTGGTTATCACTTAATTTGGTTTACAAATTGCAAGTTTTTAAGTGCATAAAGAAATTGTAGGCACTGACAAGAGTTAAAATATCTTTAAAAACTTGTTCAGTATCACAGCTTAATATTTTGTGATGATAATCTACAAGTTAATCGTTACTCTGGTAGATTGAAACTGCGATTATATCAGTACCAGTTGGAACCTCTTATAACGAGAAGGTCCTATCTAACATGAAGAACAAAATACCTGTAATCAGATAACCATAGATCCTAACATGCTTTTCATAATAAATAAAATACTTCGTATATTTTGCGGTTAAAAGCTGACAGAACAGTTGTAAGAGCTCGTGTATGTACCTGGCAGGAGTTCGATGACCACGGAGAATGAAATCTTCGTCGGGATTTCGCTTTCTTGTTCCTCTTGATGGTAGAGGTCGGAGATTATAAAACGAATCCATTTCGTAAGGTCCTTTCTTAGCCATACTACTGGTATACATTTTGCTTTAAAAACGATCGAAAGTTAGACGGCTGGGAAAGACAGAGAAAGCTCCCGCAGTGAACGATAACAACACGTACTTCGTTTGAGCGCCTTGTTTGCTTAGCAACCAAGCTACAGAAAAAGCAACGGAACCAGGAGGCTTGGTCACAAAGTATGCACCAGTCCATCTGTTCCACTGATCATCAAGGGTAGTGAGATCGAGGGTAGTGAGGGAAGGAAGGGGGGAGGGGGGGGGAGGTTGATAGTTATACGTGCACGGTTTTGAAAGCCTTTTGTTATGAACCACTAAACTGTACAAAAAACCGCAAAACAGGGCCAAGTTGAAGGTAAAAAAAACCTATTCCCTGTACAGCGGCACCTCGGAAACCCCACGATAAAAACAGTAAAGTGAAATTAAAAGCGGTGGGGTTAAAAGGAAGCATTAATGATGAAACCTTTATTTGTTGTGTACTTAAAACGTTTACCATAAGCTACTGAGCAATCATTGCTAGCAATAGATTTTTTTGAAAAACCCTATTTATGAATGTTTCGGGAATTGATTTTCAAGAAAGGTAGCACCCACGCCTGAAGCAGAAGTGGTTTCCTAAAACATTAACTACAATCTAGATAAAAAATATTATAAACTTATCTATGTTTTAGATTTAAATATCCATAATCATTTCTCATAATGTAAGGCCTAAGATTTAGATTGCCAGGTATTTAAAAACATCACATTTTTTGAGTGGATCAAAAAAGGAAAGAAACTACTTTAACATAATCTAATCCAACACCATAATTGGATTGTTAGCATTCGCCCTCAGGAAAAACGTCATAATGTGGTGTTCGTACTATTTGGGTAAATTTAAATACTTCAGCTATTAGATAACCTGTGTCTAATTAGTTATGATTGTGTATCAATTCAGTTCATCGTATTCCAATAAAGCAGTTGTGTAGAGGACTAGGTCTCATTCACGCATTACTCTTCAGTAAAATATGGAATCCTAATCAGCACAACACATAACATTATAAAATCTTATCTAGCTATGTCACTTCCCAGTATATGCAAGGCACCAGCTGCGCAAAAACTGCCCCGTTCCTTGGGATACGCGTGTGTGCACGAAGATTTGGAAGTGGAATACAACGCACGGAATGAATGCATATACTCTAAGTGTTTTAACGGCGAATTTCTATGATATGAAATTTATTTTTCTTGGGTCTCAGTAAGTCCACTCGATAATTCACTAGGTGTCTCTTTCTTCCATATTTCATAGAACGTCCATCTTTGAGGTAAATTAAGGAGAAAATTAAATAAAAGTAATCAGTTGATCACAAATTATCATCACTACTGCGCATAACAAACCATGAGCGAGTTCAAGCGTTTTTACGTTCTCCAAATTTTAAAAGGGGATCATTTCAGTTACTTGTTAACCGATTGAAAGAATGATTTTTCTTTTCTAACCTATGGAATAGAATTAAAATGTTTTGGCTTTTAAGGGCTAACCTGAGACAACAACAAATTTGATTTTGACCAATTGTCGGTCGCGTCCCAGATAGACTCAGTATTTTCAAAATAATGTAAAGAGAAATGCAAAAGAATAAAAGGATACAGTTCTAAGAAGGAAGGAACGAAAACAAACTCCTTCCTGAAGTTCACTTCACAACACAGGTTTGAGAGTTGTTCCTCGTACAAATTAAAGCGCTCCTTTTGATTAAAACCGCTCGCACCCTAAACGGAAAATGATAGAGTAAGGTAAAAGTCAGATCGATGGCTTTCTCACACTCAATAACTCAAAATTTAGTAGCAATAATACTCGAACAACTGTGAGTTTCTTTTAACCCTATAGCTTAAGCATTGTTCTAATTTGGCAACATCCTGAAATTTCCTTAAGACTGTGACGAGGTTACCAATGTTCACTGGAGGAGGAACATTAAAAAAAAAAAAAAAATGCAGAACCACCGCACTCTCCGTCCTAAACCCTAGTTTATTTCTATATGGGTCTGAGGACCCCACATAGTTCTTTTAAAATATGATGAAATACGTAACTCACTTGCACGAAATACTTTCCATAGGGAGAGAGCAACCTAATGGAGAGGTCTTGAATTTCTTTCTGAAATTCCAAATAAGAACCTAAACAGCCAGCCGGATAAAAAGTGTGGTCAGTTAAGGCAAATTGAAAGTTTTGAAAAGAAGAAAAGTAACTAAACGACAATAAACAAGGACTCACCTTCCTTTTTTGATCCGATAACAACGTCAGTTAGGTCATTGATTATGAAATCAAATGATCTATTCTTTCTCACATACTCACGCATAACTTCTGCACAGTCAGCAATTATAATCTGCAGCAAGATAACCGTGAAAAGATATCAGTAAAGTCCAGAATGTATTCAACAATAATAGAAAGCAGTAACAAATTCAAATAAATAACGAAAGATTGTTTTAACCTTCTACAGTCGTTATTCAGTTTGTACATCTATTTAACCCACCTCGTAGTTTTTTCCTTGTAAAGTGTCGAGCGAGTCACCACAAATTCCTCTGAGATGCTTCCTTGAAGCATTAATTACATATTTGTCGATTTGATTCGCTGTTAAAGACAAATTCATACAAGTAAAAGTCTATCCTTTATAATGACCATTTAAAATCGATCACTAGGAAGAAGTATGCGAAGCCTCCACTTAAAATCTTTCTTCCAGCTCTAATGCTAACGATTCAAATTTGTTTGAAAAGGATATCTCTACCATGACAACAGACTTTGGGCTTTCTTTTAGAAGCTCATGCAATACACCTCCATCACCTCCACCAAGGATGAGGACAGTTTTGTCTTTGTAGTCCACCCTACCATTGCCTGTTAACGCCTGAGTGTAGACAAGATCACTCTCAGCAATCACTACCAAAACACAAAACAGGAGAAAACTCAAGATGAAGGTTTGTTCTTTAAAAAAATGCCTGTAGAACAGGCGATAAGTTTAAACTGGAGGTGATCACGCTCATAACAATAATTTACATAGCTTTATTCTCTTTAAACAACAACAAACATATGAAACATATGTATGAACTGCGGTTATGAAACGTATATGTTCACGATCCTTCGCAGTAAAACACTATTTGAGCAATAGTGAAAATCAGACCTGAAAAAAATTTCAGGCCTGTACGGGATTCGAACCACTGACCTCTGCGATACTAGTGCAGCGCTCTACCAATTGAGCTAACAAGCCAACTGGGAGCAGGCCATCAAATTAATTCGA